AGAGCATGGTGGCCTTGAAAGCCAGCGGAACCCGAAAGGATCCTGCAAACCATAAGGCTCTATAACCCGGAGCGACCTATCGAAAATTGGAAGGTGGTGAAAATAAATAGAAGCGATAAAGCGACGATAAGGACTCCATAGAGATCTTGGAGCAAAAGAGCGGGGTGATACGGTACGGCTGTGACATGGCCAAAATTAAGATCTACAGCAACGGCGTAAACGCAGCGAAGAACCTGATCGCGGAGGTAGAGCCGGAGGAGGCCAACAGCGACGTGGAGATGGAGGAGGAATCCGAGAAGGTTGATCCGATGGCCGACCTGACCGGGGGTTATGCCTCATCGACGTCTTCGCTGGGGGTCGGACGCAGGCTTCGGCTTTATACGGAAGAGGAGTTGATCGAGATGTCGGAAGACGCGGTCAACTCCACCCTAATAGGCGACGTGGGCGATAACGGCCAAAATGGTGAAGGTATTGCAGATTAACCTTCACCACTGTAAAGCAGCTTCAGCTGCACTGCTGCTCCATCTAACACCTAAAGGGTCAGCCGACATCGTCCTAATCCAAGAACCTTGGGTGGTGGGACAAAACATTTGCGGGCTGAAAGCGCTGGGCTACAGACTGGTAAATGGAGCCTCAACGGGGAAACCAAGGACGTGCATATTGATAAGTATCACACTAAAGTGTCTCTTTCTTCCACAATTTAGCGACGAGGACACAACAGCATTCAGTCTAAGTGTAAACGGACGACCAATTAAGATGGCATCCATGTACCTAGTGCACGACAAGGAGGTGCCAACTACCTGGAGGTGATGCCAACTACCTGAAGGTGATGCAAATGCTCACCATCATACCTGGGGCAGCTCCGACGATAACGAACGGGGTGAGTCACTTTTTAATTTCATACTTAGCTCTAAGCTTGTTATTGCAAATAGGGGGAACGATCCCACTTTTATTACAAAATCCCGAAGGGAAGAGCTGGACGTTACCCTTATCTCTGAGAATGCGGAATGTCTGGTCGGGAAGTGGAAGGTGCTCGAGGAGCACTCCTTTTCTGACCACCGATATATCCAATTCGAGGTAGTAGGGGAATGCCCAAGGCTCCTCTAACTAGAAATTTGCGTAATACCAACTGGCATAGGTATCGGGAAGAGCTGGATAGGCTTTTTCCAGAAGATAGAGAGCCGACTACTCCAGCAAACCTAGAGGAGTTGGAATATCTTTTCGACCATTTTACAGCCTGCAGTAAGGCAATTGACATTGCATGCCCCAAAAAGCAGCACCGGGGTAGGAAAAAGCCACCCTGGTGGAATGAAGAAATCAAGATTTCACGCAAGAAATGCAGGAAAACCTTCAACCAGGCCACTGCGTCTGGTAGGGAGGGACATTGGGAGACCTACAAGACAACGTTACGGGAGTACAAGAAGCTCCTAAGAAGGTCGAAAAGAACCTCATGGAAAGACTTCTGCAACGGGGTGGAGTCTATCTCAGAGGCAGGCAGGCTCAGAAAGATACTCTCAGGTGCTGCCCAGAAAGCCCCAAGATGCTTGCAAAGACCTAACGGCTCCTGGACTGAGACCGAGGAGGAATCACTGGATCTGCTTCTTTTCACACACTTCCCGGGTGCCACGGACAGCATGCCGGTGCAGCCACATCTAACTGGAGATCCTTCGGTCACTGGAGACTTCCTCACTAAGGAAAAGGTCATCTGGTCTATTGGGACTTTTAAGCCATATAAATCACCAGGTCCGGATGGCATTGCCCCCATACAGCTGCAACAAACACTTCAGCGTGGCTACATGCTATAATTAAGGGTGTATTAGCTCTTAGTCATATCCCTAGAAAGTGGAGGGAGTCAAGAGTGGCGTTCATCCCCAAGGCAGGGAAGGTGTCCCACAACAACCCAAAGGATTTCAGGCCCATCACCTTGTCGTCATTTCAATTGAAGGTTATGGAGAGACTGGTGGAGGTCCGTATCAGAGAGTCGGTTGGTGACGGACTCTCTACCACACAACATGCTTATACGAAAGGTAGATCTACAGAAACGGCGCTACATGAAATAGTGTCGCATATAGAAAGATCACTAGACATCAAAGAATATACGCTAGCAGTCTTCCTGGATATAGAGGGCGCCTTTAACAACAAATGCTGAGATGCAGGGTGGTTCGGGCGGAGCTGGCGGGGGTATCGTTGACCAGGATCGTAGAGAGGGGCACCCCGCAAGGGGGAATCCTATCCCCTCTATTATGGGTCGCAGCGGTAAACTCACTACTGTGTGGCATGGAGGGGGGTGGCTGTAAGGTTATTGCGTATGCGGATGATCTTGCACTAACAGTAAGTGGGAAATTTCCACAGACCTTATGTGACATTATGCAGGTAAAACTGAGGTAGGCGAGAGTTGGTAAAAAATAACGGGTTAGGGGTAAACCCAAACAAAACAGAACTTGTACTCTTCACGAGAAGGTACAAAATCCCCCCATAGATAACACCAAGGCTGGTACAGACCACACTAAAATTAAGCGATTCTGCTAAATACCTGGGGATAGTCCTAGATAGAAAATTCAGCTGGACTCAAAACACCGAAGAGCGGGTGCGGAAGGCCACGGTTGCCCTATACAGTTGCAGGAGAGCAATCGGCCAAAAATGGGGGTTAACCCCGAAGATAGTGAACTGGATATACACCGCCGTGGTGAGGCCCATACCTCTGTGCGGGGTATTGATACGGTGGCCAGTGCTGGAGAAGAAAGTAAACAGTAATAAATTACAAAAAGTGGAGAGAACGGCTCTGATCTGCATTAGTGGTGCTCTCCGCACAAGACCTACTATGGCATTGAATACGATCCATAACATCGTACCTATAGATATTATAGGACGACAATACGCTGCGTTTGCAGCCCTAAGACTACAGGGGCTTAAAAGCTGGAAAGCGGCTCGCTGTGGTCACACTGCAATTCTGAGAAACCGACAACTTCCGAGTACAACGGACTATTGTGTACCAAGGCCCACCTTCACTAAAGGTTATAGCGTAATGCTACCTAGCAGAGAATCATGGCTCGAAGGAGTTCCGGGGTCTAGAGATGCCATAAAATTCTACACGGACGGCTCCAAACTAGAGGCGTCTACTCGGAGAAATTGGAAATAAAAAGATCATTCCGACTACCTGACCACTGTAGTGTCTTTCAAGCCGAATTGGCAGCCATACAAGAAGCCGTTGACAGCCTAAAACTAGCTGTTATCGCCACTACGGAAATATATATATACTCAGACAGTCAAGCGGCCCTTATGGCGCTTGATTCTGTCACTATAAATTCGGGAACAGTTGCCAACTGCCGCGAATCACTTAATGTGATGGCAGAGCAGTTCGCTTTGCACCTGGTATGGGTACCGGGGCACAGTGACATACCAGGAAATAAGAAGGCAGACGAGCTTGCAAGGGCGGGTACTTCCTCTCCACTTTCACCAGCCTGGAAGAGGATGGGTATGCCACTCGCTTCCTGCAAGCTCTTACTAAGGGAGAACTTCCTTGAAGAAGCGGCCTCCAGATGGGATCGCATTGAAAACTGTAATACAACGAAGCTTACATGGCCAAAATGGGATGTGCGGAGATCGAGAGAAATTCTTACTCTCAATAAAGCCGATATGTCACTGGCCATTGGTCTGCTCACAGGACATATCTTGATAAGAAGGCACGCAGAACGCCTCGGGGCTAGTCACAACGACTACTGCAGGAGCTGCCACGATGAAGAAGAGCCTGAATCAATAAGGCACTTACTCTGCGAATGCCCAGCACTAGGCAAGAAAAGACAGAAATTCCTAGGTATAGGTCTTTTAGACGATCTAAGGCTCAACTGCTAAGTTGGGAATACGGCAGCTGCTAAGGTTCGCAGACTCCCCGAACTGGTTTAATGAGTAGGGGTTTTTGGATCCATGTGGTATCACAATGGGCCCTGATCGAGCCTAAGTGTGCTGGCGCCCTCTGGACCTAGCAGCCGCTTCAACCTAACCTAACCTATAACCTCGGAACCATAATTCGCACGAGCTTGAAATTCGGTATGCATGTATAGCTATGGTAGGTGGTTATAAAAAAATAGATATAAATGAGTTTGTAAAAGATGGCGTGGCAAACCCCATAGGCGTGGAAATTTTTATCAGCTATAACTTCAAACCCATAAGTCACATCAAATTTTAACTTGGTATGCAGACATATCTATGGTAGGTGCTTTTACGAGGGCATATATATATAAACGAGTTTGTTAAAGGGGGCGTGGCGCATCCCAAAGGCGTGGAATTTTTTATCAGCTATAACTTCGGAACCATAAGTCCCACCAACTTGAAATTTGGTATGCGGACATATCAATGGCGGGTGCTTATAGGAGGGTATATATAAACGAGTTTGCTAAAGGGGGGCGTGGCACTTCCCATAGGCGTGGAATTTTTTATCAGCTATAGCTTCGGAACCATAAGTCGCACGAACCTTAAATTTGGTATGCAGACATTCCAATGGCAGGTGCTTATAGGAGGGTATATATAAACGAGTTTGTAAAAAGGGCGTGGCGATTCCCATAGGCGTGGAATTTTTTATCAGCTATAACTTCGGAACCATAAGTCCTACGAACTTTGAATTTGGTATGCAGACATATCAATGGCAGGTGCTTATAGAAGGGCATATATAAACGAGTTTGTAAAAGGGGCGTGGCACATCCCATAGGCGTGGAATTTTTTATCAGCTATAACTTCGGAACCATAAGTCAAAC